ACAGGGCAGGGCGTACTTTCCCATTTGCCTCCACTGCTACAGCAACTGAGGTACTTCTAACCTTAATAAAAGCTTACACTCCCAAAGGCTTTCCCATCAGAATGAAGGGTGAAGAAGCATGGTTCTACAGAAGATTGAGGTTTGCTCTCCTTGCAGAGGAGACCTATGATGGTCTCAGGTCATTTACCCACTGTAGCATGAAAAACGAGCAATTTGCAACTATAATGGTTCCGGATGACGGTGCTATTAGTTCCATTAGCAAGGAGCCACTTCCTTCAGAAAAACACGAGACTGGCACTTGCTGCAGCTAAGCTATAGCAAAGTGAAGCAGGAAAGGAACGCATGTATCAAAGCAAGATATGGGTTCAAGGTTCTAATGAGAAAGAACAACACAATCCCAAGTAAGCTTCCCACAACTACCCTTGTCATAGCCTTCCCAACAGATCTCACCCTTCAGACAATTGTCACCATTTTGCATATGTCAGCTCACTTCGTAAGTCAGTTTAGCGAGTAATATTAGGAGTCGATGCCCCATGAGTGTCAGGTGCAGTGTGCAGAATAGCATCCTTGATTAAACATGATGTTTGGAATTGGCAAAAACTAAGAAAAAAAAACTTTCAGATATACCAGAAGTTTCCCAAAGGAAATTCTCAGATCAAATAGAAAAGTGTATCAAAATGACATTCCTCACAACTAATACTAATGACAACAGAAGAGAGTTGCACAAATGACATCAGGGATCCCTTTTCACCCAGGAGAAACATCGCATTTTAGAATAACCATATTACTCCAATTCTCATTCTAACTGAACAATATAAGAAAACCCTGAAAGGAACTATTCTGAGCCTGAAATAAAGATTTTTAAATAGGGCAGAGGCAGACCTCAACAATGGTTTGCATATGCTTCCGTATCAGTTCGTCCTCGACGACATGGACGATGGCTTCCTTGGTATCCTCATCCAGGTAATGTGAGGCCCTTTCCCTCTCCTCAGCAATCCGACCCTCCACCTTATGAATGTACACCGATGCACTGTTTTCTCGAAGGAAATTCTGGCTCTCCACCTGGTCGGAATCAACAAGATTCAATATTTAGCACCGTGAGAGAGTCCATGCACGAATCAGATGTACGGCTACTCACTCGATAGAAATCGATCGACTGTTGAAGGAAAGGTTCCTCGAAGTCCTCCTTATAGACATCACGACCAAGCATGATGAGCATCTGGCAGGCGTTACGTACTGCTAACCGGTCTACCACCTCTCCTCGTCGCTCCCTCATAACCATATCTAAGAGGGTGTCACGAAGGTGGTCGCGGATGTTCCCATACCTGACGACCTGACGAGACGAGAGCGTCCTGCATTAATTCCCAAGAGGAAGAACAACCCACTCCAATTGACAGAAGGATTACTGACAAGATCCCTGAAGAGTGTGAGGCCTAAGTTGAAGACATTTTCAACATTGTTCTGCTGGACATACACCCGGTCCATGTACATGAGAATGTCACGGATCATCACCATCGAT